ATTAAGAATTTTGACATTCTACTGGATTGAATAAACATGTCCAGTAAACATAAAGTATTTTTGATAAAAGTCCTTTCCACAAATGGTTATTTACATACTTAACTCATATTCGTTCATATACATAAATAACGAGGTTCACTTTGACCCTAAACGTTGTAAGAAAGCAACGGCTTTATATAATCAAACTTGGTTATATGTGAATTAAGAAGGTTAAGCATAACTTAAAATAACCACGAATTTTTGGCAACAGCATCTCTAATTACTTTTCATCAAATTCATAATTGTTATTACGTACGATTATAGATAACAATAAAACAGATTTGACAACTTGTTTTAATCTTCTATGAAAGAAAGTAATTGAGAAACAGAAAATAAAACAGTGGATTTGAAAACGACTTAGGTCTATTGTTTCAAGTGATTGCTTCTAATTTTTAGTATATTAAATGATAGACCACTTGACTTAAAGAGGAGTTAATAGTAACCTTCAGTTAGAGTGTAAATCTTCACAAGTGTAATTTGCCAAGAATAAATAATATTTGGGAGAATAATAACTCCGCCTGGAGTCCCTCCGGGGGCTACTGCCGGTCCCAAGTCCGGACAAAGGAGGAAGGCTGGGCATAGGGTTAGCGTCCCCATCCCGTAGAAAATTAACTCGCTAAAAAACACTAACCAGAAAAATTATTTAAACCTTCTAAACTCTGCTCTGGGAGTCAGAAGGTCTTCATTTAGAAGAACTAAGACGCCTCATGATGAAAGCCGAATTCCTTCGGAAGTTACGAGGCCGATGCCCCTTCTGACAACCAGAGCGACCATTTATTTAGGTACATGGAATGTTCGTACAATGTGGGACACCGGGAGAGCCTTCTAAATTGCTGCAGAAATGAGAAGATGCAACATAGTGGTACTTGGGATCAGTGAAACACATTGGATACAAGTTGGACAACAACGACTAACTTCAGGAGAGCTCCTGTTATACTCCGGCCATGAAGAAGAAAATGCACCACATACACAAGGAGTTGCATTGATGCTGTCTAAACAAGCGCAAAATGCGCTTATAGGATGGATATCTCATGGACCAAGGATCATCAAAGCCTCGTTCAAAACAAAGAAAGAGGGCATTTCAATGAACATCATCCAATGCTATGCGCCTACCTACGACTACAATGAAGAAGCTAAAGATCAATTCTACAATAGGCTGCAGTCAATCGTCGAGAAGTGCCCAACAAAGGACCTGACCATTCAGATGGGAGATTTCAATGCCAAGATTGGAACGGACAACACTAGATATGAAGACATCATGGGACGACACGGACTGGGAGAAAGGAACGAAAATGGTGAGAGATTTGCAAACCTATGTGTCTTCAATAAACTGGTCATAGGAGGCACCATATTCCTACATAAACGCATACACAAAACCACATGGACTTCACCGGATCACACCACGCAAAACCAAATCGACCATATTTGCATCAACAAAACGTTCAGGAGGACTATAGAGGACGTGAGAACCAAGAGAGGAGCTGATATAGCATCAGATCATCACTTTCTGGTCGCCAAGATGAAGTTGAAACTCAAGAAACACTGGACAACGGGGCGGACAATATCACAAAAGTTCAATACGGCCTTTCTCCAGGATGCTAACAAACTCAACAAATTCAAGATAGTTCTCAGCAACAAGTTCCAGGCCTTTCATGATCTACTCAATGGAGAAGGAATTACTGTGGAGAGCAACTGGAAGGGGATCAAAAAGGCAATCACTTCAACATGTCATGAGGTCCTGGGTCACAAGAAGCACCATCACAAGGAATGGATCACTGTTGATACACTGGATAAGATTCAAGAAAGAGGGAACAAGAAGGCAGCAATCAATACCAGTCGAACAAGAGCAGAAAAAGCCAAGGCACAAGCTGAATACACAGAAGTAAACAAACAAGTGAAGAGGAGCATCAGAACCGACAAACGTAAATATGTGGAAGATCTAACAATGACAGGGGAAAACGCTGCAAGAGAAGGAAACATGAGACAACTATATGACATAACAAAGAAACTCTCTGGAAATCGCCGCAAACCAGAACGATCAGTGAAAAGCAAGGAGGGCGAGGTAATCACCAACATTGAAGAGCAACAAAACAGGTGGGTAGAACACTTCAAAGAACTCTTGAATCGACCAGCTCCACTGAACCCACCCAACATCGAAGCAGCATCCACGGACCTCCCAATCAATGTTGGTCCACCAACAATTGAAGAAATCAGCATGGCCATCAGACAAATCAAGAGTGGCAAAGCAGCAAGACCGGACAACATCCCAGCAGAGGCACTGAAAGCAGACGTAGCGGTAACTGCAAGGATACTCCACATTCTCGTCAATAAGATTTGGGATGAGGAACAAGTACCAACAGACTGGAAAGAAGGACTTCTGATCAAAATACCGAAGAAAGGCGATCTCAGCAAGTGTGATAACTACAGGGGCATCACTCTTCTCTCAATACCGGGAAAAGTCTTCAACAGGGTATTGTTAAACAGGATGAAGGACTGCGTAGACGCCCAACTTCGTGACCAACAGGCAGGATTCCGTAAGGATAGATCGTGTACAGACCGAACCACAACACTACGGATCATTGTGGAACAATCAATTGAATGGAATTCATCACTCTACATCAACTTCATTGACTACGAAAAGGCATTTGATAGCGTGGACAGAACAACACTATGGAAACTTCTTCGACACTACGGCGTGCCTCAGAAGATAGTCAATATCATACAGAACTCATATGATGGATTACACTGCAAAATTGTGCATGGAGGACAGTTGACAAAGTTGTTCGAAGTAAAGACCGGTGTTAGGCAAGGTTGCTTACTCTCGCCTTTTCTCTTTCTCCTGGTGATCGACTGGATCATGAAGACATCAACGTCTGAAGGGAAGCGCGGGATACAATGGACATCTAAGATGCAGTTGGATGATCTAGACTTCGCAGACGATCTGGCCCTTCTATGCCAAACGAAACAACAGATGCAGGAGAAGACAAACAGTGTGGCAGCAGCCTCAGCAGCAGTAGGTCTCAACATACACAAAGGGAAAAGCAGGATTCTCCGATACAACACAGCATGCACCAATCCAATCACAATTGACGGAGAAGATTTGGAAGATGTAAAAACCTTTACATATTTGGGCAGCATCATTGATGAACAGGGTGGATCTGATGCAGATGTGAAGGCGCGGATCGGCAAAGCAAGAGCAGCATATTTACAACTTAAAAACATCTGGGACTCAAAGCAACTGTCAACCAACACCAAGGTCAGGATTTTCAATACAAATGTCAAGACAGTTCTACTGTATGGGGCAGAAACCTGGAGAACTACAAAAGCCATCATCCAGAAAATACAGGTGTTTATTAACAGTTGTCTAGGCAAAATACTTCAGATCCATTGGCCGGACACTATTAGCAACAACGTACTGTGGGAGAGAACAAACCAGATCCCAGTGGAGGAAGAAATCAGGAAGAATCGCTGGAAGTCGATGGGACACACACTGAGGAAAGCACCAAACTGCGTCACAAGACAAGCCCTCACATGGAATCATCAAGGCTAAACAATGGACAAGAGGAAGACCAAAGAATACATTACTCCGAGAAGTGGAGATAGACATGAGAAAAATGAACAAGAATTGTATGGAACTAGAAAAGAATGCGGAGGACAGAGTGGGTTGGAGAATGCTGGTCGGCGGCCTATGCTCCATTAGGAGTTACAGGCGTAAGTAAGTAAGTAAGTAAGTAAGTAAGTAAGTAAGTAAGTAAGTAAGTAAGTAAGTAAGTAAGTAAGTAAGTAAGTAAGTAAGTAAGTAAGTAAGTAAGTAAGTAAGTAAGTAAGTAAGTAAGTAAGTAAGTAAGTAAGTAAGTAAGTAAGTAAGTAAGTAAGTAAGTAAGTAAGTAAGTAAGTAAGTAAGTAAGTAAGTAAGTAAGTAAGTAAGTAAGTAAGTAAGTAAGTAAGTAAGTAAGTAAGTAAGTAAGTAAGTAAGTAAGTAAGTAAGTAAGTAAGTAAGTAAGTAAGTAAGTAAGTAAGTAAGTAAGTAAGTAAGTAAGTAAGTAAGTAAGTAAGTAAGTAAGTAAGTAAGTAAGTAAGTAAGTAAGTAAGTAAGTAAGTAAGTAAGTAAGTAAGTAAGTAAGTAAGTAAGTAAGTAAGTAAGTAAGTAAGTAAGTAAGTAAGTAAGTAAGTAAGTAAGTAAGTAAGTAAGTAAGTAAGTAAGTAAGTAAGTAAGTAAGTAAGTAAGTAAGTAAGTAAGTAAGTAAGTAAGTAAGTAAGTAAGTAAGTAAGTAAGTAAGTAAGTAAGTAAGTAAGTAAGTAAGTAAGTAAGTAAGTAAGTAAGTAAATAAGTAAGGGCGAATAATTGTTTTCAATAACTTCAACATCAGTCTCCACAGTTACAAGTACGTAATTATTGTATTACTTTCATAATGATCAAAATAAAGTATTCATTAAGGAATTTTACAATGTTATATGTTGAACCCGGTGAACTTTACCATCTTTCACGACATAAATACTTCAAGATACTGTCATTTGTAAATTGGAAACGTCATTTAATACAGGTCAGAATGATTGATAGTAGTTTTAAAGTATAATCACGATAACAGCAAAACAACACATCATGTGAATAAAATGCATAGTAGGAAAATTTCACCTCATCAATGCCTGTAGTTCTTCTGGGGTTATTGCCAGTCCCAAGTCCTGAAAAAGGAGGAGGGGTGATGATTGAGTCAGTGTTGGGGACGATAGATCCCCAAAACTCAAATTTTGTAATTTACTTATCGATTAAATATGCAGATAGGTCAATTGATGAACTATCGATTAAATGTACAAATAGGTCAATTGATGAACTATCGATTAAATGTTCAAATAGCAGTCAATTGTTGATTAATGTTCAAAAATCTTCCATGACAATATCGATTGTAAATATTTGTATAAATACGCTTGACTTGTATGCTTGATCTGATCTGCCTGCCTGACTTGTTATCTGCTGTTGTCTGTAGAATACACTTTCTACACCTTACACAGACTTCTTGATCGAGTTAGCAGAGTTGGGGACAACGGACCAGAATAGTGTATCGAGTCGCTGAATCATTGATCCTTCGTTCGTTCGAGTAAGACGCATCAGTAATCACATTCAAGCAATAACGAAACATAACAATTGGCGACGGGGTAAAAAAAATACAATCCAAAGTCATTCTGTAATTGGACAAAATCCAGTCTAATTATTCAATCAATCAGTATCCAGTTTGTCATCAGTGTCCCTGAACGACATTGGTCATTATTCATACAGTAATCTTCATTGCTGGTGCTGATCCAAAAAAATGACACTCCCTGGACCCTGCCAAACTTGAACTGTTACTTGAGCAGCAGCTAAAATTGATGCAAATGTTAATGGAGACCAAGGTTACGCCTCCTTTACAGCCAAGCACGTCGAGCTCAACCACGGCACCATCGGTAGATGGCATCGCAAACAGCATAGCTGAATTTCATTACGATCCTGATTCTAATGTTACTTTTGAGATGTGGTTCAGGCGTTATGAAGATCTATTTAAATTTGATTTCGCCAATCAAGATGATGCTTGGAAAGTGCGGCTGCTACTTCGTAAACTGGGTGCAAATGAGCTGGACAAGTATTGCAATCTGATCTTGCCGTTGAACCCACGTGATCGATCATTTGCAGACACAGTTCAAACATTAATCCAACATTTTGGCGATAACTCGTCACTGTTTAATACTCGTTATCGTTGCTTGAAGCTGACTATGAACGAAGATGATGATTTTCTTACGCATGTGGGCGTCGTCAACCGTGAATGCGAACGCTTCCGGTTAAAGTCCTTGACTGAAGATCAGTTTAAAGCCCTGATCCTTATTTGCAGCCTACAGCACCAAAAGTTCAGTGACTTACGAACAAGGCTACTAAGTCGTTTGGATCAAGAACCGAAACTCACCCTGAGTGATATAGCTAATGAATATCAACGTCTCATTAATCTTCAACGAGACACTTCTATGGTCCAGAGTGGTGGTTCTAGCCGATTTGAAGTACGAGCGGTGCAACAGACACCTCACAAAAACAAACACGTCCTCGCTTCATCCCATGGACCTGGAAAACTTAAAATCCGGATATCAACTCCGGATCTTCTAAAAAGGGGAGGAGTGTTGGGGACGATAGATCCCCAAAACTCAAATTTTGTAATTTACTTATCGATTAAATATGCAGATGGGTCAATTGATGAACTATCGATTAAATGTACAAATAGGTCAATTGATGAACTATCGATTAAATGTTCAAATAGCAGTCAATTGTTGATTAATGTTCAAAAATCTTCCATGACAATATCGATTGTAAATATTTGTATAAATACGCTTGACTTGTATGCTTGATCTGATCTGCCTGCCTGACTTGTTATCTGCTGTTGTCTGTAGAATACACTTTCTACACCTTACACAGACTTCTTGATCGAGTTAGCAGAGTTGGGGACAACGGACCAGAATAGTCTATCGAGATTCTGAATCCTTGATCCGATCGACAAGTCACTGTCATATAATCGCCTGTCTGCTTGAGCCATAACAGTCAGCAACCCTATCCTATAGAAAACAACTATGCTAAAAAGCGTTAATCAGAAAAATAATTTAAATCATTTAATGTCTGCCCAGTCTGGGTCCAGAATCTGTCAGATACATTCTAAACGAAGAGCTGTGTCGAACAACGCTGTTTACTTTTCCCCTTCTCTTTCTTCTGGTGGTCGGTAGGATTTCCGAGACCTTTACAACTGAGGGGAATCACGGATTACAATGGATAGTTGAGATATGTCTGGACGATTTGGACCTTGCAGATGACTTAGCTCTTCTATCACATACAGTGCAACAAATTTAGGTGAATACAGCTAGTGTAGCAGCAGCCTCTGTATCACTAGGCCTCAACATACACAAGAGAAAAACAAGATCATGAAATACAACACAGAGAACACCAACTCAATCACACTTAATGGGGAAATTCTGGAACATACTTCGGAACGATCATCGATAGACAAGGAGAATTTGATGAAGATGTAAGTACACGGATTGGCAAAGTAAGGACAACATTCCTACAGTTGAGGAACATATAGAACATATGGAACAACTGACAGTCAACATCAAAATGAGAATCTTCTATACGAACGTCAAGTCAGTTCTACTATACTGAGTTGAAACTTGGAGAACTACCACAACCATCATCAGAATAGTAAAGGTATTTATAAACAATTGTCTATGCAATATACTGAATGTCAGTTGACCGGATACCATCAGAAATAGTCAACTGTGTTAGGGAACAAACTAGCTTCCATCTGAAGTGGAAATTAGGAAAAGATGTTTGAGGTTGGTGAGACATATATTGTGAAAACCATTGGATAGGATCATGAGACAAGTGCTAACTTGGAATCTTGAAGGTAATGGGGAAAGCGGTAGGTCAGGGAACACATTGAATGGTGAATGTGAGGTAGATATCAAAATAATGAATGGGAACTGGAAGTGATTGTTGAGATCAGAGTTTGGTCGAGAATGTTGGTGTATGTCGTATGCTCCTCCACGAGAGGGAAAAGTCCTATGTAATTTTCGGACTGACAGGATTATTGAGGATGACCTTTTTATCTATAAGGATGGCCAAATATAACAATAATATAATCCAACTTTATTGATGTTATGGGACAAAACCTGACCATATAATATCGAATTATTTGCTTTGAAACTAAGATGAAGAGATGGCTGGTGTTTATTTTTAAGAAATAGGTTTTATTATGTGCCGATGAAATCAGCAAATAATAAAATGTCAGTAATACTAAATGGTTAAATGTAGTGAACAGGAAACTTTGACTTTTAGTTTTATATTGGTTGACATTGCTGAATATGGTGGACCTAGAAATTTGGGTGGAAATACAATTTCCTCAGGGACTCACACCTGTATCACTTAGTGTTATATCTAGAGAAATTATTATTCGGTTATCAGATCTTTGACTTTTCCATCCACGACTGATATGTCTCTATGATTCATTTGATGTTTGTGATTTTTTTTCTATGAAAGTGTTACAGTAACAGTCAGGGTTCTTCGTTACATTCGCTACTTGACAACTGGAGGTGCTTGAATCCTAGTGTTAAGGTTCGTATAAAAATTCCTTTCAAAGAATCAACTATTGTGAATGCTCACACGTTTTCCACCAAGCGACTGTGTCCAGACTCACTCCAGTCCCTCGAAAACTTGATTTTATCCGATATACAAATGTTAGTTACTGGTAAAATCTTGTTCAATAGTTAATAACCCAGTTGTTATGAGACAAAGGTAATTTTTTATGCGATTTTGTAAAACGGAAAACGTATTCATTAAAATTCTCTATTGACCATTTCACATCAAGCACTTTTGATCATTTGCCTGTTCAATCAGTTGGTGTCTGCTGCATATTAGTGGGTAGTTTTCGCTTTGACTGACTGGATTTATTCAAAGCCCATTCGCATATAAAATATGAAAAACACAAATAGAATACAAATTGAAGTTTGAAATGAAATCTTGAGTGAAAATTGCACTCTAATATGTAACACCCATACACTAATTGAACAAAAAACTAGTCAAATATGCTGGATAAAAAAACGGGCTTGTTGAACATTTTAAACTTGATGGATGACCTTAACCATTTATTAATTTTGAAGACGTATATTTTTTAACATACAAACTCATTTCTTTGGGAGAGACATAAACCTACTTCATCACGTCTATAGAGATGACAGTGAATTAGTTTTTTTTTGTTGAGAAATTCACAATAAATCTTAGTAGTTTCGTGAAAACAGTTAAATATATTAGGAATATTTTGTATAAATTAATGCGATACACCATGTGTAACAATCTGATCACATATGGACATATATATAACCGTTCAACCCTTGATATTGGAAATTAAAATCAATACTGTCAGGATAGTTCCGATTGTGAACTAATTTTTTATTATTATACAAAGGAAGTTTTGAATTTTTATATAATTAAGGTTTTTCTCATTTTAAATACTGACCCTAGATACATTTTCTATACATTGTTATACTGGTTACTTTTTCGATTGATCATATGATTTGTTACAACTGGATGTTGATTATTAGAGGAAGGATAGGTGTTTATTTATAAACTATCCTAACTTGGACAACACGATTATGCACAGCTACTTATGAATAGTATATTATAATTCGACAAACTATGGTCTTTTTTTCAAATATGGTGAAATCGACATGGTAATAATTTAAACGAATTATCGATTCAAACTTCATTTTCATGCAACAATATTTGATTCATCTCTTATTGGCAGGATAATTTCAACTGGAAAAAACTCAATGTTTATTTTCTGAGAAATCGTTTGAGTAAAATGTAGTTGATTCCAATATTATATCTATTACTGTACAAAATGTCATGGAATTAACGAATTAAGATTCAACGTTAGTGCCGAAGTTAACCAATGCATTATTTTCTTGCTACGAGGAAGATGCTTGATGTTTGAAATATATGCCACAACTGGGTAAATGTGACTATGTGGTACTTTTCGTCACATCAAAATTAACTGTTAATGATTTTATGATTACGCTTACAAAGACAAATATTTGGGTCGCCGATATTTTGTTAATTATACACTCAGTGAAATTAATAGACTTGTTTGTAGCAAGAGAAATGTCTACTGGTGTGGTCAAGCTTATTTATTAGGGTAACTAATTACCATAATAATAGTAAGCAATTTGTGAACAGTTTACTTTTCAGAGCACAAATGAAACTAAATCTAAGAACCGATAATCCAGAAGCATCTGCATTATTACTTCACGGAACTCCAACAGACGCTAAATTTATCAGAGATTCAATAGAGTACCTACAGAACATGTTATAATAAGTAAGTCTGAGGACGGAAATATGATATAATGTGATAGAACTGCACGAAGACTAATCCTTTTCAACTCTGATGTAAACAAATGTAACATCACCGGTGTTAACAAATATTCTAGCATGAACCATACAGTAAAAAGTTATTATTTACGATCGCAGATTAATGCATCTATCGCTGAAGATGTATCATTCTTTAACAGATTTTCATTCACCATTCACTATATTCTATGTTAGCTTCGTAATAAAAACAACAATAGTATTGACTAAATTTAATTTTAAAACTAGTTTATATTTATAAATTATCTCAAAAAGAGAGAGATTTATTATTAATAGTTATTTGGACTCTTCATCACCTTTTCTTACAGATTAATGAGCGAATGTATGTTAATAAGAGCTAATAAATACCCAGTTATATGTTCAGATCTGAAACATCAGTTTAGGGTACATGATAGAAACTGTTATACAGAATATGGTTTAAGTGACCTATTGCATAAAACTCACAAGTATACTATAGGATTGAAAGGGTTCCATATAACTGATAATTCTATACAGATATATCTCATTATTTATAATGACAAAATAATGCCTTATTTATTGATATTCATATTTTTTTGTTAAAAATCTCCTCTTCTGTAACTTATCTTTTGTAATACAGTGACTGGTAGATTTACTAAACATTGAACGTGCTAAGTTTGGTAGAATTAACGGGGAGACTATAATTTATGGTTGATTTTTGAGCGATGCCAAAGTGACCTCGACAGTGTCTACCTACTTACTATGGCTAAATGAGAGTTCTAAAGCAGTTTGAAGAATAAGGATTATGATTCAGTTGACGGTTAGGGTTAAGAATAAAATTTACGGTTTTTCATCACAAGATGCTATTTGACCAAACGCGTAGGTAAAAGTTCGTGTCAAAATCCAAATCTTGTTGTCCTAAATCTGATTGGTTCGCTCTTAAAGTCGTCGAATTAATCTTGTTGATTTTTAATTGAGCACTTCAATTTCAAATGTACATTTTATTTAAAATTAAGTGAAATTTTCTGGTTTATTATTATTTTGCTTAACTCTATGATAAATTAAATTTACTTGGTAATGTTTGTTTGAATCTTCCCATCGATGTTTAGGACTGCAATCGATCAGTCTCTTATTGGCATATGTGCATACTGTGCGTATTGTCTCGATATAGCCTTAGAACTCAGAAGCTAAGTGAATAACGCGATGACGCTTGAAGTGAACGGTACTAAGTTCGAGTCCCAGAGTGAACATCAACTCTGAGACGCAGGTACATCCAGCCGACGAATCCTGAATAGGGCGAAATGCGCGTCCTGTATCCCACTACTAGCCACTGTCCATCTCTGCATATCTATGATGAATTGTTTATCGTTCAATATACAATTATTAAATTGAAAATATACAGTTTAATTTAAGAAAAATTTATATTTCAGCCAATACCAAGTATGTATATATATTGTGAAGAGATAAAATGTAATACATAATGACTGAATGTTACATTGATCTTTTTGCAATCAGTTGACAGAACTTGTTTCAATGTTTAAATTGTAAAATTTAAGCGGAATTTAAAAGATTAGTACGCTAATTCATTTTTGCTTTTGTTTTGTGCTTAATAAATGTAAAATCATCTCGTGGTACACCAGAGATTGTGTTTAATGTCAGCACAATTTTATCAATTTTATTCATTATCATCATCACTTTCATCATCACTATCACCATCACTATCGGTTCCTTCCGAGGCATCTTCATTTTCTGAATCGGTTTCACAGTCATCTTCATCTGATTTCTTTGTTTTACACTTCTTACTCTTTATATCAGAAAGATTTAAATGATGCAATACTGTAGTACTTGGTTGTTCAGTTGTTGTGCCTGTTTCATTTGCACACATAGTATTAATGCAAATATTGGAAACACTTTGTGTTTCGTTGTCGGTAGACTTGGTTTCTGACTCAGTGATGTTGTTTGTCTCAGTTGTTGTGATGATTTCGGTAGGTTCTTCTGTTGTATCAGAGACAATTTCATTTGTGTTAGTGAACACCTTGCAAAGGTTATCAATTAGTTTCATCAAAGGAGAAGGATATTTAGGTGTTTCTGTAGAAGTTTGTGCTCGAATATCAACACTTTCTGAAGTTGACTCTAAGTGAGAGTCATCAGTACGATTTTCGTCAACGTTATGGACCTGTGTATAAGGGGTTATATCTGAGTTACCAGTGTTTTCTGTCTGATTTTTCAAGTCTTCTGATGTTGGACTAGTCAACTGTGTGTCCATGTAAATGCCAAACTCTTTACAAAGATCACCAACGGCTACTATCAAAGGAGAAGGTGCATTAGCATCTGTAAGGGCTTCTGTATGGTTATCAAGATTTTCTGAGGTTGAATCAGATATAATTGTTTCTGTATGATTTTCACCACTTGTCACAGTAGAAGTGCTTTCTGTATAATTTTCACCACTTGTCACAGTAGAAGTGCTTTCTGTATAATTTTCACCACTTGTCACAGTAGAAGTACTTTCTGTATGATTTTCTGAACCCTCTGCAATTATCGGAACAACGATATCATTTTGAGTAGTATCAGTTTCTGTCGTCAGAGTAGAGGAAACATCTGAGTTGCCAGTGCTATCTGAATTGTTGTCAGAATTTCCTATCGTAGATTCTGGAGGATTTGAGGTTAAGTTGGCAACAGTCTCAGTGTTAGCAACGTCAGCCACTACAATCGACTGAGAGGAATTTGAGTTAGATGTTCCTTCTTTATGACTGTCTACATTTGTGGTTTCATTCAAACTATCAACACTTTCTGCAACAACATTAGAAACGATTGACGGCTCTATATCTTGTCCAGGATCAGTCTTTCCGACGGATGAAATTTCATCTGTAATACATTTTGAAAGAAAACGTTTGTTGAAGTTATTCATCGAATTCAATCACATGTTTAAATTTAACATTTGTCAGTGTTAACAATCTCAGCAAATCCAACATTCAATACATTTTAGAATAAACCTCACATGTAATTTATACTACTGATTTGTCCAACTTTCTCACTCTGTCTTTATAGTATAGAGCAAATCACTACAAATACTCAGTCTATTAAAACATTTCAGTCAATAATTTTCAATATCATTCACTGATTTGAGTAATGATGTGTTTAAACAGAACAAGAGAAGGAATGACCAGTTGATTAGAATGTTGATCTCCCGTTAATTTGATTATGTGAATAATCGAAGAAGTGTTCTAATATATCCTCAGTTTATCATTCTACTTTCTCAATAATCGAATTCTTGTTATTTTCTTTATTATTTTCTAGACATATTTGACTGAATATTGAATAAAATATGGGATGTTAGATAGAACTAAGCATTCGATATTATAGTATTCTTACTTTATTCTTGATATTCTTACTCGCTAGCAATTCTGTTGTGAAACATTAATCTGTTAGATTTCAAGAGTATTTATAAATAAATGAAATACAACTTCTTAACTATATGATTTCTGTCAGAAGGGGTGTTTTTCATGTGAATATTATCGTAATTTCAATAGTTGGGATCATGAGTCAATTGAAGCTAGATAACTATGGGAAACCTGGAAGCACTGGACGTCCATTTCAGTGACTCATCATCTTAACTATTGAAATTACTATGATATCCACAAAAACCCTTTTTGATATTAATCAACATATGCTCTCTATTGACTGGCTTCCAGAGGTATTTCATGGAGTTCTAATGAGAAACAGTGACCAATGGAGTTCAACCAGGTCTGTTGTGAGATAGTGATTCACTGAAAACAATGATGAATATGTCGTTTAATTTCATGGATTAGTTGAAATTAAACATATGATTTCTGTTAGGAAACAAACATTGTACATATAACATTCAGAATTTAATGAATATTTCACACTGATAATAATATCAGTTTGTTGTCTAGTTAGTTTTGTATCATTATTGTTATGTATCATGTAGATTTATATGTCACCAGTTAATTGATATTAATTTAAATATTGAAAAAGAAAAAGAAATATTCATGATAGAATCATTTATTTAAAATTATTCTTACCTCCATTTGATTTTTGTAATAAACCTGCATTCACATAAGTAAGTAAGCATAGAACAGATAATAATTGAATATTTGTAATCATTGGAATCAATTTCATTGGAATCTCTTTAATTCAATTAAAGAAATAGAAGAACATTATGAAAGACAATGTTAAATTAATTAAATGACATCATTTCAATTATACTGTCATAAACTAATCATTTATACATTAGTTTAATATGGATAAGTTAAACACATTACGCTTATGACCAACAGTCATTTTATTAAAGTGTTATAAAGTGTCACTATGGCGAGTTGGGGGGGGGGGCTAGAGAAATTTATTTGAGAACTTTTTTTATTTATTTTTTGATTAATTATTCTTTCTAGTGAGTGTCTTTTGGAAATCTTTGAATGGTACATTTTATTCATTTGTATTCAATAGATTTTTATGAAAATCGTCAACGAATTCTACATGTCTATCGAATATAATTGTTATTTAATAACATCCAATGATTTCTTTTATTAACTTTTAATGGAATCAAAAATATCCTACAATAACTATGAACAACATGATGATGATGATGTAATACATGAATGCATTTGAATACTATGAAAGTATATTTATTGATATTCTGTTCTCATGATTTTGAGTAAGCTGAAGATCATTCTTATAATATACCGATATGATTGAGAATAATTGAAAAAAAACAAAGATAATTGTTTGGTTTGATGTTAAAACTAAATAGAACAATTAGTACAAAAATTGACCTAATAGCCTAAAAGTTTTATAGCCAGTTCAATTAATTTACATAATTTGTACAGATTTGAGTAGATTGTGTAAATATGACTGTTTGGATTGTAGATTTACAAATAGTCGAATAACTTCGGAAAATATCATCTTATACAAAAAAGTTATGATATTTAAATTAGTGGCAAACCAACAGATTAATAGAACAATCTATGTAAAGTATGGTTTTGAAAATATGAAAATGAGAAAAGTAAAACACTTTGTTAATAAACGATAGCATCGTAATCCCAGTTAATGGGTAACATCATTTCTTACTCGAATATTTTGATCAAAAAGATGGAATATGCTTTAAACCTTGTATTTTACAAGACGTTTATAATTCATAAGTTATGTATAAAAGGTTAAATGTGTTATTCTGTATGATTACAAAATACAATCTCTCAACAAAATGAGATCATGCAATCATTTGAATTTATAGGATAAGAACACGAACTAGTAGTTTTGACTACAAAACGTTAACTGTAATTCTATTTGCATGTTAACATAATTTGATAGAGAATCGAAGTTTCACACTTCTAGACGATATAGATAGGTATATGAACATTTAGAATAAGTGTACTTTATTCAGTTTTCAACATTTTACTTTCGATTCTATCATATGGAGTTAGCAATATTATAATGGAAGTAATTTTTGCGTTTATCTACTTCAACTTTTAATTTATCGCTTAACCATTGGGAAACTATAATATAGTTCAGTGTTTGTGAATGAATCAAAAATAAGAATATGATAATTTTAACTAATTACTATGTGAAGTAGTTTTTGGTAGTCTTATAATATCTATTATAATACTATACACTGAAAACGTTAAACGAATATCCAACTTACCACTAAGATAATAAGTGCAACTTGGAATAATGAGCAAACTGAGGATGATCAAACGTTTATATCATGTTGCTATGTGCTGCCATTGGTTATTTGTCAACCAATCATAATCGTTGTTAATTGTTTCAGGTTCATATTACCAAATATAATGCACGCAAGGTCACAATTATTTTTTTTACTATGCAATTGAGATTTTATTTCAATCTGAAATGAATCCAGCATTATTTATCATAATTATTGAATGAATAAACCAAATAGGTCAAAAATTAATAAAAGTTATTTAATTCAATTCTGTTTGCTTGATTGCAGTACAAAACCCTTAGCACAAACCACATATTAATACGAGCAATTTTCTGGTTGTTATGGATTTTTATTGTATGACTTAAAAACAGATTTGACATAGGTCAGCACAATATTGATTACCTGTCATTTATGTTAAAAATCAGTAAAGTGCTTCGACTTGCTCTGTCCCTACTCTACCTCATTTTATTGATTGAGATCTTTATTGTAGTGATTAGTTGTACAAAACAAACAAACACATGAGTAAATAATGTGGCCAATTGTAGTAACAATAAAACTGAATTACTTGATACTAGAAACAACTATAATTTCTATGATGTAAATTAGAACACAGAAATTGGTACAGATGGAAATTTCTTATAGACCCTTCAAAATATACCTACAATTTTCGTAACAGTACATAGATGGAACTGGATACTGTAAACTATAAGTCCCATGACGTAAGTCAGAAAATAAAAACAACAGATAAGGATTTATTTGACACCGACAAAATAATTAATTGAAACCACTATTTGAATAGTTATTATATGGGAAAATTATATTTGAAATAATCACAGTGATTGAAATCTTAATAGTTTTAACGTTTCGTCCTGCAAACTTGTCTGGACTTCTTCAGGTTAAGATCATTTTTCGTATACTCATTTTTTGGCACAATTTACATTGATTGATAGCCAGATATTTACAGATTAAAGGGAGTTGTATAAGACATCGATAAATCAATAATTTGTTAGATAAAGATAAACATGTTACGTCATAAAATCAACTATCCACTAAAAAAAAGTAGATATAATTAAAGGTCAGTCAATTCCAAAGGTCAATGACATTTCAGTCTTTGATCACCAACATCATCAAAATATAAATTTGATTAAAACAAACCATCAATCGGCTCATGATCTCAATCAATATATTATAATTTCTTTATTTTCATATTCTACTCCTTGGTAATGAACATCTAGAACCTCAATCGAAATTGAACTTATAGTTCATCATTTATCTCATTAATTTTACATCTTTCAGTTTTGTATATTTTGTTTTTTGTTTTTTTTCAATTTGAGTTACATGACTATCATTCTTTTCACTGAAGGTTAGAGATAGTGATTACAAAAGGGGGACCTGTGTAATTGTTAGAAAATAGTTAGATGAATGGAATATCATAAGATATTCTAAATAGTTCTACTAGATCACTATAAGTGCTACTAAACGGATAAAGACATTCTATCATGTAAACTTAATACTACTGAGTCAGGTATAAGTATTTTCTTATCTCCACATTTACTTCCGTTTAGTATAGTATAGTATAGTAGGAGTGAATAAGATTTGAAAAATATAGGGTGATCCTATAATGACTGATTGCTTTTATTCAAAGATTTTTACAAACTATTGTATCGTAATCATTTGAGATTTATTAGTTTAAAAGTTATTTCTTCTTATTCATACTTTACTGTTTGTTTCAAAGTACATTTGAGATTTAAATTTTAAAGTGAGTGATGAATATAAATCTACGTATATGAATACATTAACCATAGTTTTTCTATGATCCCTTTCATTCAGGCTATGGTATAGATCACGGAAAACTTCCACACAATAAGTCTTGATTTTCAATAATACATATTAGATCAGAATAGTAATTAGTAATCGTATTGTGTTTTGTTATTGTTTATTTCCATTTAATTCTCTATTGAAAACATGACACAATTATACGTTATTTCAAGTCCTATTTAGTCATCATGGTATGAATGTATCATTAGAAATGATTCTAAAGAAAAGTCACTATGATATTGTTATCATGAAATTTGAGATATAAATTTTTTTTTAAAAACTGAAAGTGAATTATTTGGTCATTTATGTGTTACTTCGATAAGTGATACTTTAAAACAAAGATCGAAGTCATTCAATTCAGTTTATTTGAACTACTAATATATCAGTTTGCACTTGGTGTAAATCAATTATTTTATTCGTTTTAGGGACGATAAGTAAACTATTCCGATGTTTACTGGTTTGGATTGAACAAAATTGAATGTTTGAAAAAGATATTTTCTACCATTAAATAAAATAGATATTGATCGAGATTAACTTCTTATCATTGTGACGGATCATACTTGTAATATGTAGAGCAATCAGTATGTAACCGTTTGAGATTTGCGGCATAAATCGAATGGTTATTTGTTGAGTACTTTAATTAATAGACCATCATCTTGCATTTCCATAGATAGGACTCTTTTTGATCATTTTCTACAAACTAGACATGGCCGCTCTTTCCGATTCAAAATCCCTACACAATTAGTAATTAAAACTTATCAACTAACTGTTTCAGTATGTGGGTTTTGAATGCTCTGGAACATTGTACTTAACTGACATTAGTCAATCTAGTGTGGATCAAATAGTATATTTTACAATCTTTGACTTCTTTGGTCTTAACTGTATGTTAATAGCAATGATCTTAAAATTTTTCTTAATGAATCTGTTTGACACTTTGAGTTAGGACAAGATAAACGCGAAATCATATGCTAATTTAGTGTGATATTTAGTTCGTATAACGTTCGTTTTACTTTTAACTCAGTGTGATATCCATTCAGTTTATTATTCATTTTATTTCACTGATGTACTCAGTACGTAGTACATAGTAGTATAATATATATTGTGTATTCTTTTATTCGAGTTATTTAATATACAATTATTGGGGCAGATATTTCAATTGAATAATAATAAGCAATGAAAGAGTTATTGTTTGCTAGAACCAGATAAAATGTGAGGTCATATTTTATTTGACTATGATGTTGATTCAGTATAACATTGTATTTGTATTTGTATTAATTGAATAGAATATCCGTTCAGCAAAACATATAAACTTGTTGTTATATTAATTGAAGAGAAGAATCAACTTTGACATTCTCACTATTTCAGTAATGTAGGCGCGACTATAATTTATAGACGAACCAATCACATTTAGGATACCAAGTGTTGGATTTGAGCGCGAAATTTATTCATCCATATGACGAGATATGACGCGATCCCAGCAGAGGAAGAAATGAGGAAGAAGCGCTGGAAGTCGATAGGACACACATTGAGGAAAGCACTCAACTGCGTCACAAGACAAGCCCTCACACGGAATCCTCAAGGCCAGAGGAAAAGAGGAAGACCAAAGAACACATTACGCCGGGAAATGGAAACAGACATGAGAAACATGAACAAGAATTGGATGGAACTTGAAAAGAAGGCGGAGGACAAAGTGGGTTGGAGAATGCTGGTTGGCGGCCTATGCTCCATTGGGAGTTACAGGCGTAAGTAGGTAAGTATATGACGAGATAGAGTTTCGCCATTTTAGCTGATATACGTTTTTTGATGAAGACTCTAAATATCATTCCTAGCTTCAATCATTAACTGTAAATCCTAATCCCAATTCCTGACACTAGTTTATAGCCCTCATTTAGTCCTAGTTAGTATTCAGACACTCCCAAGGTCACTTCAGCGTCACTCAATGCTCGTCCATGAATTTTAGACTCACCAATGATTGTCGTGTAATGACAGGGTGAATAAAATGTATTTCTATCTTTAGTCTACATCTCCTCCCTTGTGTTGTGTGAATTTTAGTATTTCATGTACAAAGTATCAGTTCACATGGCTGTAACTTTGTCAAAAACCTGTTGAATAATCTTGTAACTTTTCCATAGAACCAGATGGAACATGTGATGTGATTAGTTTTGCTAGGTAGAATTATTGATAAATGTTGCTGTTTTGTGTACTAATTCTACTTATTGCTAACCATTTGATTCATGTTCTGATTTTGTGAAGCATTCTATGTTATTTTTCAACTGAATGAATGAAGTACACAATGAAATGTGAAAATCTTGTAAGAGACATATAAATATCAAAATCTTTATTGATTTTATCTACATAAAGTAAACTTACACTTTTTAATTTTTTACAAAAGTACAATAGTAACCAAGTACATTTTGTATTTGATTAATCTAACTAATTAGTCTAAGAAGCTTTCTGGTGAATTTGATGGTTCATAACTCAATGAATTTGAGAGTAGTTCAATGTTTCCATGTCCTCTTAATATCATCATCCTATGTTGAATAACATTCTCCATTATATACATCTTAATTCTTTTCGACATAATTCAATTCATTAGAATTTATAGTAGAAAGTCTTAATTTGTTAAAATGCAGTTTAAGTGACATTGTGATGATGATGATGATGATGATTTTTAGTTGACGTAAAAAGGAGAACTAACTTTCAAAATCTACTTATAATCACGTTTGGTGAATTAACAGAATCGTTTGTGTATGGACGTTGAATACACATTACATATTCTTATTTGTATTTAGGATTAAAGTGAACTACAATATGTATGTGTATAAATGAATATGAAGTTGGATTCACTGAGTGATGAGGAGTCCCATACTAGGACGAATCGGTCATCCAATGCTTCCAGGTTTTCAATAGTCGTCTAGCTTTTCAAAAAAATTACTACAATCTCCACAAATATTCATACTGAAAATGAATATAAGTTTTATATATAAATGTCTCTTTGTGGAAAATAGTAACTTTTGATTTAATTTGTAATTGTGTTAATCATCTCGTTATCAATATTTTGACTGAAATTTGATTAACCCTAGTTGACACATGTACGTCTTGTGAGGATTGACTCGATATGGCGATTACAAGACAAGTTTACATAGAATAGATGGAATGTGGCTAGCAGTGGAATCTTGAACGTGTTGATGTATC